AAACGGAGAGGGAAGAGAGTAAACATTCAAAACAAATTTGCAACCACATTATGAGGAAAGTTTAAACAGAAAGAGTTTGTAATAAGCAGAGCTGTATTTCAATTTCAGTGATGAAATTGCCATAGCAACTGTTAAGGAGGAGGAGGCTCAGAGGAAGTTGGAGCTTGTTACCATTATGGGCTCATCTGGTCAGAATGTGAATGAAGAGTTATCAATTACTTACAGGCTTCTCGTTTTATTCGAATAAACAGTATTAAAGGACACACATGGACTGCCAACTCTGAAAAGAAACAAAATGTGATTTAAGTCACTCATTAACTTAAAATAATGCGTGAACTCAGGAGACCCAAACAAAAACTCACCTCAGTTGCCGCCCATGTGAAGAAGGAGTGAGCTCTAGGTGGGTGCAGTCCTTCTTGTTATCGTGTGTTGCATTTAAATCTCAATCCTGTTCATAGGATTTACTCTCTCTTCAAAGCACATGGTAACCATGTAGGTATCACAGTTGTTATAATGTATTTAATAATAAAAAACAAAGACAAAGATATTGTGAGCAAAGTGGTAACAACTTGAATACAATAGTCTTAGAAGTATATAAATAGAGCACTGCATATGTCATATGTGTTTATAAAACAAAATAAAACAAACTTTTGTGTTTGGAGTATAGACTGCTAAATTTATGAAGTGAACCTAAAGGCACCAAGAATTGCATCCACATATTGAAGCACAAATCAGGGAATTTAGTCTTTTGCACTTTGCCCTCTTTCCGAAGCTGGTAGAGTGTCAGAATATGTGAAGAAATAAAAGAGGTCGAACATGTCGATATGTTGAATATGAACTCAACCCAGAATGCAAATCTGCTAATCAGGCTCCACAAAAAGTATATTGGCGTGTGTTCATTGAATGAGCTGTACCTGCCTGATTTCTCCTTAAACTTAAACACATGCATGCAGAATCAGCGTGAAAAGCATCATTATTGCGGTGCTGTTATTATGTGCATTTCACTTACTGAACAAACGGGTAAAAATCAGCAAAGTCCAGCAGAGCAGCACAGGTACAGACAGCAGTTATCTCTCTTCCTCCAGGTCTGCTAATCACAAACTTTGATTGTTACAAAGTCCTTTGATTCTAGTTTGCAAGGAGCTGGGCTGAGCACAGATCAAGATCCAAAGTGAAATAATTCTTGGAAACAGAAATCACCTGTTTTAGAGAAAACAGGTGATTTTCTCCCTGTAGAGTGTGACTGTTAGATAAGTCGTTTTAAGAAGTGGGTTTGAGTGGGTTAAAGGAA